GAAACTCATCAGACTGAAGAAGTCTCTTGGAGGAGAGACGAAACGTTTCACTAAAGAAGAACACATCCAGAGGACATACTTATTTTTTCTTTTTGATATTTTTCTGCCTGGATTACTGAGATGCATCAGGACACAAGTCTCCTTACTTTTTGTGCAAAGTTGATATTGCTCTGTGTTGAAACCCAACAGATGGAATTGTTTTTGTATTCTGTTCACACAGCCAGCTACATCCCTCAAAGCTCAGTGGAGGGTCTGTTCCCGGGGACGTGGTACTTGACCCGAGTGGACGACAAACACCGCAGGGAGTACGCTCGCAGACCTCTGGACGACGACCTGCCAGCAGAGCCAGAACGTGTTCGCTCCAGTACAGCTGCTGAGGTAAGGAAAGAAACATGACTCTGCCATTCTGCCACTGCGGTCTGAGAGGAACTAATGAGGACTCTGGGCTTGGATCTGGTGATCTAGTCTCGCCCAGCATGAGGTTAGAGTTGAGTGTAAAATTGGGTAACTCAAATCCAGATAAAAACAGGAACTGGGTGTTGGTACATGACTCAAGGATATTTAGAAACACCGTCACAGTTTCTGCTAGTGAACCTGGCTTTTTTTTTAAACATACTGATAATATCAGGCACTAATATTGCTCCTCAAATCCAAGATTCAGCTATATTTGAAGTTTCACAAAACAAATCTTCTGCCTATGCTTTTGAACAGCTAGTTGATATAAGAAGCAAGGAAGGATTTTCTAATGAGCCCCACAAAAGTGAAGTTTAAAAGCTTCGATTTTGTCCCGAGAGCTTTGGCTTGAACTGGTTTTAGGTAGAGGTTACTGTGAGGTTGTTTGACTACTGTTTGGTCAAATTGTCACGTGTCTTGCATCAAACTCAAAACTTAAAATCAATATAAAAAAATCTGAGCAATTAACTGAAAAAATGCATGTTCAAACATAGAGCCATGGTTCACAATTATTTTCTGTCATGGCCCCCTAAGGGAACCAAAGTTTTTTCACACCCTCCCTCTAAATATTGTTGAACCTGATGATGTTATTTAACATCTGTATAAACCACTGTTTGACTTTCTGGCACCAGCATTCTGCAGATAATCACCTGATAATGGTAGGGGGAAAGAACAAATATCATGTTTTACCTTTTAAATCTGTTTATTTTCCTGCATTGAAGCTTAATTTAAACTTTAAAACTGATTTTTAGAATCTATTTTCATATCAAATGAAGCAATACATTTTTTTACTTCAAGATGCGTGAGGTATCTTGATTTTTGTGGTGCTCCTCCTTCAAGGCCAGCAAATTCTTAAAAACAAAACAAAGTCATATTTTTTTAATTCATTTTGACTTCATAAACTCAAAGACCTCCTTTTTAAACACACTTGTAACATTTAAAACAGTCTGATTGTAATCAATAATGATTCTCCCTCTGCTTTAAGTAATAAAGGCTTCAGGTATATTGGTTTCTTTTTTTATTGTATTTTTCTCATCACTTCCTTAGAAAAAGAACTTAATATTAGTTTCTTAATTTCTTCATCAGTGATTTTTTTAAGTAAATAGAAAATAGAAAAAGAGGGAAAAGCAAAGAGAAAAGTAATTAGAAAGATTGAATTAGAGATTAGAAGTATATTAAATATACACCAAGAAAACACAGGACCACACACCCAACATC